AGCATTAGAGCAACTCCCTGAGTGTGTGGAGCATTTTCGTCTTTGTGACCGGAGTATAGTAGCATCTCTCCCGTATTTAGCCTTTGTTGTCCAGCTTGGGTCCAATGGGTTTCACTGATTCCCAGTACTGCCAAGTAGTATCTCCTCATTTCCGTTGCTATTTGACTGGTCTTCCCGTTCTCCCACATTGTCCGGACGTTCCATGTACCTATAAAACTTGTTGCTCTGGTTGTTAGAAGGGGCATCGGCCTCGTGGCTTCCGAAGGAACTCGGCTTTCGCCATGAAGCGTCATATTACCTCTAACTCCCAGGGCAGAGTTTAAATGGTTTGAGTTATTTTTTCTGGTTAGCGTTTTTTTAGCGAGTTAGGTTTCTACGGGATGGGGACGCTAACCCCATGCCGAACCCTCCTCCTTTACCCGGGCTTGGGACCGGCAGTAACTCTGGAAGAGCTACAGGCGGAGTTACTTAGCTACTGAGCCCTAATATATTTTCGATTTTAGTGATTCTATTTTGCTCTATTTATTATTGACTTTTAACATTTCTCTTAGTGTATTCAAAATTAAAATCTACAATGTAACACATAGAATATCTCCATTGACAATTTAAATTAATTTATAATCTACAAGAATTACATAATGTTAAATCCAAAGATAAACATCTAGCTGAACTACACAAAAATAAAACACTTACCATGACTTTTTTCATAAGGGATTTAGGGAAAAATATTGATTTTTTAAAATTTCAATAAATTGACTTAATTTTAGGAACTGTCAGTCATAGAGATTAAAATTTTACTGTTAATCAAGATAAATGATTTTATTCTATGTAAATTGTTATTTGTATAATAGATGTCAACTGAAAATTAGACCTAAATTGTTGAAAATTTCATGAACACATTCTCATTAGGTTTATTCAATGCATAAAAGAATATAATATTCAATGTATTATGATTTTAGAATAATATCATAAATGGATTGATGCTAGAAGACCACCATTGAAAATTTGGAAACACTGGAGGACTGTTTCATCCTAGTGAGGATACCAGTTCAATGGTCTCGAGGTTAAGCATTCAAGTTCTTCGGTATCGTGAGGGGTTGAAAGAGAATAGCTTTTGAACAAAAAAATCAGTAATTCCTAAGGTTTTCAACGTATCTCAGTTTCTTTTTTTTTAACGATTGTTACAATGATTTCATATAGTGCTTAGGGAATAGTGTAAACTCAATAGTATTCTGGTAAGTTATCAAAGAGCATTTTTTAAAAATTAACTATTTATAAATACACCATATAATATTTTTTATGAAAATGTTTAAAACTTATTATTAGACTATATTTAGAAATATTGAAAAAAGGAGCACAAATTTGTTACATGAATGGATAAAGAATTATATCTAGAATTTCAACATAAGGATTAAATGATAATTAGTTTATTTTCAACCATGTGACAAAACAACTTAATCCTACTTGAATTTTGCTATTGTTATGACTTGGAAGCTGTTTTTGGTAAATTATTGTAAGAGTTGTTAATAAAAATGTCTTATTCATTCAATGTCATATCTATATTAACATATTTTTAGTATTTGGCTTATTGAAAGAAAAAAAGTTATATTCACCTTAACATATAAAACTCCAGGTACTATAAATTTGAATTGACAAAGAACTTAGTGTTTTCGTTGAATTAATGGCTGATAAATATTTATTTGTAAATGTGAACCTATAAATATTGGCATAAAGGGGCAACCAATACATATGTGCCACACTTTGTCATTCGATTGGTGTGAGGACTAGGATACTGCCCGGGTACCCATACCGAAGCAGGTGGTTTTCATAGGGGTCCACTCCCCGAAATTTTGACCTAGAGGTCCAGTCCACAAGGCAGTGTGGCAGCGTAAGGAAATGCAGTCCTATAGTAGCCGGTGACCAGTAATTGGTTCATACGTCATTTGTACTTTCAGGATCTATTGGTTTGGAGTTAGAGATTTTAAACTCTCCTAGGTGGATTTTCCCTATCCACCAACCCAGTTAAAGTACCGGATATTCGCTTTTCGTCCTCTCAATTTCGTAAACAACATTCCCGTCGCGAGAAGACAGTAAGTAGGACTTGCCTGGTAGTGTTTATGTACGTGTGGCCATGTGAGAGCATTTCGAGAGGGAGAGCAGATTCCCCCGACCCTCAGCCATACCGGGGCATTTGGGAGAGGAATTCATATACATGGATGGAAAAACCCTGCTTTAAATTTGAAGATCAATATAAATTTTAAGAGTATATGGAATAAATGAATAAAAACTATGTATAACACATCATTTAATGTGATCACTCACTTGAATTTGGATTGGCTTAGTTAAATTACACATTATTTTTTTCAAGAATGAAAACGGAATTGTTCAAGAAATGGTTTCTGTGTTTTGTCTTTCATGTTTCCAAAATTCAAATGAAGTTCACCAAGTTAAATCAAAGTACTATATACTTAGATCGTTTAACGTGCTTCTGTAATCAAGACGTTTTTCTTACAATAAGGACTTCAGATCTTTTCCTTTCAAAATCTAACTTGATCATTCTATAAAACAAATCTTTGAACACTAAAGATCAATTCTTTCTCAATTGATAATAATTATCAGTTATTTTTTGTTTCAAACATAGTGGTCATATATCTTTTCTTTGCTAATAATTATCGTATAACTATTATGGCAGTCTTCTAGACCGCATTAAATTAGTCAGCAAGATTGATATTGCATTGAGAAACAACTGAATTCTGAAAATTACTACAGTTGCATTTTGCATTTTAGTGTCGTTCACTAGTTAAATTATAGGTCATAAACTTTGGTGGATCTGAATGTAGTAAGTTATATGATTTACCAAAAATGTATATGAAAAATCATAGAGGGTACTGAATGAGAAATATTGATTTTATTTAATGACTGTAAAAATCAAACACCACAGAATAATTGTCGATCCACTGATTTTGAAACAAAAATATCATCTAAACAATGTGATTAAAATGTCTATTAAGCTATTTAGATCTTGGTTTTAGTAAATGAATCTGTTGGGGACGTTAGATCCCCAGAACTCACTTGGAAAAGGACCTAATTTTGTAATTTTATTTAGGAAATTAGAACTTCTTTGTTTTCGCGCCAAAAGCGCTCTTGTCACCTTCATGTCGTATTTCCCACATGGGAAATATCTTAAATGCTATTGGTCCGTTGAGTCTTTTTGTATGCTATTTGGTAACTCTCCCTAAGGACGTTTTGATTTGTGTTTATTGTTATCACTCGTTTCTGGCTGTTTGCAAAATATACTTTCCTATTCCAAGCTTGAACTTCTTACTCTAGTTAGCGGGGCTAGGATGAATCAAATAGCTAGCTTATTGGTCTTTGGTCACCGAGTCTTTGTTCTCGTTCTCAGATTAAGTGAACTCGTGATAGCTTCAAACCTAGCAGAATCATTCGTTTATATTATTATTGAAATTAGATTTATTTGAGAAATGGGTATTAATATCAAGCACGTCGTTATGAATATTAAAAACCTAATTATTGACAATATACACATATTTTTGATGACAATCACTAGTAGTATTTAACAGTATGTGTATATGCAGAACAGTCATCTAATAATAGAAGATAAGAAAATTAGTTATATGTTTTAAAAATACAATTTTAAAATAACACTTCAAGTATTAATAGTGTGAAGATAACCATGGTCATATTATCAAGCGAATATTTTGTGAAAATGGACAAAGTAATAAAACCCAAACTTTGATTACCAACTTTAAGACAGTTTGTGATGAAAGATATTTAGAACTGAACTTTTCAAAATATTCTAATGTGTAATTAATTACTGATTAACACAAACTGTCTGGTAGACTGAAATTTTGATTATCTGGATTCCTTTAAACTATGCATTCTTGATTAAAATTACGAGTTTTAGAAACATATCGCATGTCTTGATGAAGTAGTATTTCGTCATACCCAATATGTCAAAACATTGTTTAAGTAACTTAGTCATCGAAATAAACAAATATCATATTATTTCGAACATGGATTCATAGGTAAACGGTGAAGATGTTCATGCACTTAACTGACCGAATTACACTGGAGATGAAACATTACGACAAGTGTTTTTACTACTGAATTTAAGAATCTTCAATAAGATTTGTGTTATTCTAGTGTTTTGTTTCTATCATTTATTCAAATTTGACTTTTTCGAGGACAGTATTATATAAATAACATATGTGAAAAACATTGTACAGTTTCCATATAATCATATGATAGTCTTTTTTTCCAACCATATTCATTCACAATTTCATATAAACAGTTTGGTTGAAAATCTAGTTTGTAGACACGATAGAATAACACATTGGTAGTCTAATGCATTGTGATTTTCTCTGTTAATATATGAAACAATTGTAATAATCTGAGTGGTCATAATGATAATATTAATGATTAATACGCAAATCGATCCAAAAAATATAAGAGTATAGGATATGGAGAAATAATATTCAAGATATGTTCTTTTGCAACACAACGAGTGATTAGTTTAATATTCATGATAGTTCTAGAGCATGTCGATTTCAACTAGATCACTTTTTAACATTTTCAACAGAATAGATTAGTCTTAAAAGGTCTTTATGAAAACAGCATTCGATCAATCGAATCTTGAGTTTCACTTAAACACGTGATTTACATAGCATATGAACATCCTAAAAATGAACCTATTTGTCAATACGTCAAAGTTGGGAATTCAGTAAAAGATTTTCAAACATCTAGTTTGAGACTGAGTTTAAAATTAATTAAATATTTGAAAATTGAGGTGTAACCACATCTATTTCATTTAATTTTATAACAGTTTGAAAGTATATAGAGACAAAACATCTAACTTACAAATAAACAATACCCTACAAAATGCAAAACAAATAGGCCACAAACTTTAATAGATAAAATAATGAAAATAGTTTGAATTATTTTTTCTTGTTAGCGTTTTTTTGAACGAGTTGGTTTTTTAAGGTTGCTAACCTCATGCCCGACTCTTCTCCTTTATCCAGGCTTGGGACTGGCAGTAGCCCTGCGGGACTCCAGGCGGAAATTCGGAGAACTACGGAAGCCATCATCCAGAAGATACAAGTGTTTATTAACAGCTGTCTACGCGAAATACTTCGGACACATTGGTCAGACACTATCAGCAACAACCTACTATGGGAGAGAACAAACCAGATGCCAGCGGAGGAAGAAATCAGGAAGGAGCGCTGGAAGTGAACAAGACATACATTGAGGAAAGCACCCAACTGCGTCACAAGGCAAATCCTCGCATGGAATCCTCAAAAACAAAGGAGGAGAGGAAGACCAAAGAATACATTACGCCGAGAAATGGAGACAGACATAAAAAGAATGAACAAAAATTGAACAGAAGTAGAAAGGAAGGCCCAGGAAAGAGTGGGTTGAAGAATGCTGGTCGGCTCTCTATGCTCCATTGGAGGTAACAGGAGTAAGTAAGTCAAAGAATGAAAATGAAATGATATACCTTCTAACGAATTCTGAATATGACGATCAGCCAAATATTTCATCTCGGTCAAATTCTGTTGAAAATGTACCATGAGTAATGATCTCTTACATTCAAGCAATTTTCCATTTAAAACTATTTGAATAACATGGTTCATGAAAGATTTCTCTGTAAGAGACAATGATGGAAACTATGGTTTCTAAAGATACCAAATTAACTTATAACAGCTCACGTGCTACTGAGTTTGTTCACATTTAATTCGGTTAAGTCATTTTATTAACTTATTAACGAACTGAGTCATCCGTACAACAACTTATCTATATCATTGTATCTTTATTATTGTTGCGAATGTATGAACGTGTATGCTTGAGCAAGCCTTACCACCTACGCATTTATTCACGCTACTAGCCTAACTATTAACCGCTTAATTGATTCGATGATTCATTCATTTCACTATGTATATATATGTCCATGTTATTCATATTCATTGCTCTCGCTCTCTTGTTCTGGTTCTCTGGCTCTTGCTCTCTCTCGCGTGCCTGTTTGCTTTTCGACACAACTCTTTCATGCTATCTTAACACATCTGTAATTTTGAATATCTGTGTGTGGTCCCATAATAAACGTAATCAACACTTCGAATTCGCCTTCTTATTAACATGCCGTTGGAGCGTTATTTAGTGACGGTTACCAAGACGAACTGTATACGGAGTTTAAGGAATATATCGAACACCGACCACCACAAACTCTTTGAAACGCCTATGTATTCTCGGATAATTGTAAATTTTATTTCTTACTCTCATCATGTATAAATGAGTCTGTTAGATGAGATACATTTGAAATTAATGTTTCCTTTTTTAAGAGAGCTTTATTCACACAAAATGATCCTGCTATTAGTCCAATTAAGTAAAAATACTATATGAAACTGAAGCATCCGTACATAATACCATTATTTTGGTGTTAGAATTCCTTCCAGTCAAAGGAATCCTCTTACCAAAAAGAAGAATCAAGTGGCTAATACATAATAGATTTTGTTAAAGATATTAAAAACTGAAGACCTTCCTCAGCGGTAAATTAAATCATATATGCAAATATTTTATGATAATAGCCTAATCAAGACTACACTTTAATTATACGTACAAAGTAACAGCACTTTTGACTGCATCTGTTATATTTACTCACATCCCACTAAAGTAAATACAAACATTCTGGACGTATATAGTTTTTGTCCATTAACTTACATGATGGTCACTAGTTCATTATCAATTATATCTGGAATCAAATGTAAGTTATTTTACTGTTTGATCAAACTTTAACTTAAATACATAGAAAAAAAACCCTCAATTGTATTAAAAATAAAAGCAATTCTTTCTTCACAAATACTACATTGAGTAATCAAACGGGAGTAATCTTGAACAAAACTCATAATGAGTAAATCAATCGAAAATTGACTTTTCTTTCCATCATATCAGATTTTCAATGAGCATTTATGCAGACAATTGTTTATTACATAATAAGTAGCTAGTCATTTCTTGTAATCATATTCATAAAATCTACTGTTTCAAACATTGAATCTGGTTCAAAAGAATAATATTGTAATTCGAATGTTAAATTTGGAAGGTAAGATTCTTATTTCGTTTACTTTAAACATGTCTACATTATTAGCAATCGTTCGATCGTTAATCTATTTTTCATTTACTGTTAAGTATGCTTTTATTTCAACTAAAATTCCTAACAGATTTCCAAAAATTCATGATATTATTTGGAGATTTTTATTGTCTCGTGATTAACCTTTAAATACATACGCTATAAATGTCAGTTGTGTATTAGTTGTCTAGTAATTTTAATGTAAGTAGAATTTAGATGATAAGTACTTGAAAGCAGATAAAGTTAGAACAACGGTCTGTTTGAATATCTGGGCTACCTGTTCCTGTCTTCTAGATACTTCAACAATTTATCTGTTTTTTTGTTAGTTTCATCAGATCATAATATCAATTAATTAAACAACCTATTTAGGTGCGTACAAGTTAGGAAAGAGCACAATCAGAGACATTTTGGTTGCCGGCAGTATGCATCGAAAAGTATATACATTATTCATATGTTCATTCCTGAACTGTTAATGTCTAACTGGCAACCACTCAATATTTATCGTCAAGATAGACCAAGAAATAAGAAACGGAAACTAGTTGAAATACTTTGTGCTGAGAATTATATATTGTACCAAAACTGTAATATTGAATGAAGTTAATAATAATAATAAATAAATAAATAGCTGTCAATGTGAAATATCGAATAGCTATTATTTAAGATTTACTATGGTTATATTAAATTATTGTTCGTAATCTTAGTTATAAACTATTTATCATCATTTTAATTGGTGATATTTCTTTTGAGGTTCATCAAGTACTATTTGTTTTTCAGTTTTAAAATAAAAATTACATTTACATATGTAATGAAATTTACTAGTTGTCCTGCATTGTTGTTTTACATTTTAATTATGTAATCACATGAGTTATGAATCTAAATAATAAATCTCCTTGTGACCAATCATCTATTCTTCTGATGTTCTGATTAACATTTTGATGTCAACGGAATTTTCTTAGCCAATCGATCACCTAACAATTGAAATACTATACCATTGAGCCGGCATCCTACGGTGTTAATGTCTAACTTCAACTAATCCAGTGGTTTGGTGGTTAAGTGCACGCGCGAGAAACCAGTAGGTCCTGGGTTCGAATCTCGCAGGGGGTGAGGTCATGGATGCGCACTGCTGAGGAGTATTACAACAGGACGAAACGGCCGTCCAGTACTTCCAGGTTTTCCATGGTGGTCTAGCTTCAACTGACTCATGATCTTAACCATTGAAAGTATTACAATCTCCACAATACCCCTTCTGAAATACTATATGTAGTAAATACTTTAGTGACACAAAAGCCAATACAACATCAGAAGATGTATCAAAAATGAAAGGTCTATGCATCTTTGGATACCTAAATAAATTTTTTAATACATTTTAACTTAAAAGGTTGTGAAAATAAGTGATATTCTTGATTTAAATGAGGCTTCATAATTGTGTAGATTGTAGTGAAAAAAATCAACTAACAAACAATCTAATGAAAGAATTCTCGGAGTTTTAGTGAGAAGCCGTGACCAGTAGAGCTAATCCGTGTTGGGTAGAGATAGGTATCTACCTCAGTATAATGGAAGATGGTCGCGCAACTTCGTGGATTGGTTGAAGTTAGACATTAATAATATTGGATGTCGGCTCAGTGGACCAGTAGGTTAAGCGTTCACGCGCGAAACTGAAGGCCCTGGGTTCGAATCCCGCGAGTGGGATCGTGGATGCGCACTGCTGAGGAGTCCTATGATAGGACGAAACGGCCATCCAATGCTTCTGAGTTTTTAATGGTGGTCTAACACCAATCGGTTTCGCGATCTCAACTAAAAACTTAATAATCTCCACAACCCCTATACAGCTAATTATGATCAGTTAGTTATATTTTGATTCATTTTCAGCGATTAAATTTAGAATGAGTGTTTCGTTTCATTCGGGTTTCATCATTTGGATTTCCATACAAGCAGAGACTAATTATATTTATTCATAAGTTTCTACGACAAGTAAACACAAATCTCTACACTGAATAATTGATATTGCTAGCATTGCATGCACAGATATATACATACATACATTTGTTACATAACATGAACATTTTGTGTAAATAAGTTAAGACATCATTTAATTGTCATATGTTGGAATATCTTTAAAGCAATAGACGTATACAAATCTATGTACTGTTTTTAATGACAAATTTGGTGAAATTACAATTTATGGACGACGTTTGAGCGACACTAAAGTGACTTTGAACATATCCACCTAACTATCCAGGAGGGTTATAAACTAATGTGAAGAATTAGAATTATGTTTTACAATTGATGATTAGGGTTAAGAATTAGATTTAAGGTTTTCATCACGAATTGACATAAGTTAAAATGTTAAAATGCTATTTGACCGAATAGATGTATATAAATTTCGTGCCAAAATTCAAGACCTATTCTCTTATAACTGGTTGGTTCGTGCATAAATGATAGTCATGCCATAAATTTATTTAACTGATATAAATAATGATTAAAAATCATAATAAATAATTTGAAATGAAAAAAAAAATGGAAAAAATTTCTTAAAATATATTTTTTCCATTTTATGTAACTTATTTTTTATTTTGTATAATAGTATAAGTGCTCTTCAGAATATGCCGAATTTTAGCACAAATTTTTCTAACCACTTATATGAGAAATTTAGTATATAAATAAAGAAATAAGAACTATTGTATCGCATTAATATGACTGTATATGTTATGTCAATAGTTGTATTTACTTTGACAGAAAAATATGTTTTTGCAATGAATGTTACTTTAAAATTATATGAGATAATGAAAGTTTCAAAGGCTACAATGTTCAAGGGACATGAACAATGTTTGATATAATGTGAAAATTGTTATCTTAAAGACTGATATATCATTGTGATTAATGATAACAAACATTTTGTTTGTTTTAATGTTTTTGTATCCTGGCAACGGCATTCTATTTATAAACTCCGCCAGGAATTCCTCTGGGATTACTGCTAGTCCTCATTCCGTAGAAAACCAACTTGCTATAAAACGCTAACCAAAAAAAGTAATTCAAACCATTTTCGTGTACAGTTCGAACAAATAGACGTTCTTTTGATCATAATATTAGTTAGCTACTAGTTTAGTCATTTTTTTACAACTTATGTTTATTCGATGAAGTTGGAATAGATCTACTCGCATAATTAGTAGTAGACACTTTTACAAGAACTGTTGAACCAATCTACATTAAATGACACATTTTAGAAGGGGACGTCTATATCACGGACTAATTTTAGTTAGACTATCACTGCAACTCAGGAAGTACTGGACAGTTGTTTCATATTAACATAGTACTCCTTAGTAATGCACACATACTACTCTACCAGAGGTTGGATCCAGGAAGATCAATCTCACACGCGATGTGTGTGTCTGACCACAGTCATTTCACGATACTGAGCCACCATCTACTATTACTTCTGTGATGATAACTGTCTCACATCTAACATAGTTGGACTTCACTAGTCGCAGCTTTTCATTA